TCAAGCTTCCTGAACATTGTTTTTCTGAGCTTCCCTAGCATGGTACCCAAAGTCATAGTTTAACTCAGATTACTAAGACAAAAGAAAATGGCACAGTTTCCTGCAATAGAATCCTTCACTTTTAATACTGGAAGTTTTTAAGAAGAGACTGGAGAGCCATTTGTCTGAAATGGTATAGGGTTTCCTGCCTGAGCAGGGGATTGGACTAGATCAGGGCTTTTCAACCTTTTCACCCATTGTACCACTTTTAGGATAAGGCAATATCTGAGTACCACCAGTCACCTAGCAAGGTGTCAAAAACTTGATGACCAAAAAAAAAAAATAAGGAAAAAAGTGATGAAATACAGGGAGTACTTGACTTACAACAGTTCGCTTAGTGACTGTTCGAAGTTACAATGGCACTGAAAAAAGTGCCCCCCAAGCCACAGCCGAGCAAGACACCTGCCTGCTCACCCGGCGGTGCTCTTCCTCCTGTCCGAGGTTTTCATTGTTGTGAGGATTGGCAGCAGGGGTGGGGTGGGGGGTGTTTGGTTTTTATTCTCCCCGTCTGCTGGGTGGTTGCAGCAGGTTTTGGTCACTTCACATGACCCTGGGACACTGTGACCGTCATAAATATGAATCAGTTGCCAAGCATCTGAATGTAAATCACAAGACCCTGGAGAGGCTGCAACATTCCAGCTGATTGGCGCTTCTTCTGGGCTCAGCAGAAGCACCAGGATCAGCGCCGAGCTCCAGCTGGAGCCTGATGCTGATCCTGATGCTTCCACTGAACCCTGACAGTCCCGAAGAAGCGCTGATCCTTGCGCTTCCGCTGAGCCCTGACAGCCCTGCAGCTCCAGCCATCTCTCGCTCAGGCTTGTCCGGTGCTGTCACCGGTTCAGCTCATTTCCCTCCCCCACTACCACTTTTCTGGGATGGTCGCATACCACCTGCCAGGTGCCAATGTACCACAAATGGTACCCGTACCACTGGTTGAAAAGCCCTGGACTAGATGACCTCCAAGGTCCCTTCCAACTTTACATTATTGTTATTACTATTATTATTATTATTATTATTATTACTACTACTACTACTACTACTACTACTACTACTACTACTACTACTACTACTACTACTACTATTATGACAAAAGAAAATGGCAGTGTTTCCTGCACTAGAATCCTTCAGTTTTAATTATCCTGCAACTTGGCCTGAATAGAAGGTAAGTTTTGTTTTCTTTCAGTGAGATTCACAGTTCTATAAAGAAAAAGGAAGAGTGCTTATATTTTTTGTTGTTTATACTGTAGGAGAACACATTCAGAACAATTTATAAATCCGTTATTCTTGCTGAAGGATAAAGACAGGACTATGGGAATTCTATGACCATTTAATCTCCAAAAAGAAGGTGGCTTAATAAATGGCTTCTATCAAAAGAGCTCAAAAGCTAAATTATGAAATCATTCATTAGTGTCTCAACGGCCTATATTCTGTGAATTTGCCCAGAAATTATCAGCAAAAAGGTTTTCCTCAAAGGATGCATTTAATAAAGGACCAGGCCATAGGGATGACAGGGCAAATCTGAACAGAAAAAGTAGGCCAGGATCAATTCAGGAATTATCTGGAGAAAGTCATCTCTGCTCCACAAAGATGTTAGAGCAGCCATTTGGAAAAGGTCAAAAGCAATATAAAACATGACTTGGTGAAATGTTGACTGACTGTTTAAGAATAACTCTGCGGGGGGGGGGGGGGGGAGAGAATAAGAGTCCTGCTATAGCATACCATTGCCCAAGATTGATAATGTTACTGGAATCTGCATTGCCAGATGATCACACTGCAGCATTTATTTATATATACATACACATATAGTACACACTTCCTGTGGTGAGTAGTATTTGGATAGGGCAAGATGAGACCAGAGATCTACTTTGAATTTGGTTTCATGTGTATTATAAAGATGCTGACCTGCCCTGAAATAAGTGTAACTTTGTTGTGGGACAGAAGTTAATTTACGTATGTATTGTTGCTGTTAAGCAACTCAAGATGGAATCACAAAAATAATCAGACATGCATAAAACCTAAACTCTTTCACAAAATCAAAGCAGTATTCCATTTTGCCATTTAACATATAACATATTTAATATATTGATATATAGCCAAATTTTATTCAGATTGATATGTAGTTGACTCTTATTCAAATTGACAAAATGTAAGGTGTTATAGTCCAATGGGGACACTGTATCCCCATAAGGAATACGGTATAAGAGAAACAAGTGTCTAAATTTAAAATGCTTGCAAGTATTATACCAATAAACACATCCAGTTATCAGCTACATGTTGTATCTTGCTGTGACATATCCTACCTCATACCCTGTTGAGTTTTTGGATGTTTACCAACAAACCAAATATGAATAGAATTCCCCATTTATATCCTAACTTTGATAATCTCTTAATTCATGTGGCAGCTGCATGGATAGGATTACTGATACATACTGAAAAGGAGTAAGAAAAATAGGAGCATTTAGAAACTCTAATCTTCTAAACAGAGATAGTATGTTTGAAAATGTAAAGAAGGATGGATATACTTGGTTAAAGAAATGCTATATACAGCACTGAGTTACAAGCAGTTTTTTTTAAAAAAAAAAAGCAAACAAACAATGCTGCCAGATAATAAGCATGTAACACCAAATCCATACGTTAATATGGAAATTGTAATAAGTATGTTATCTATTTGTTTTAGCACTAAACCTGTTCACTGGTTTATACAATGAAAAAAACCATTTAACAAGAAATATATATATATTGATATATATCAATTTTAGCTTGGCAACTTTTCCCCCCCATTTCCTACATGGCCAATAAGACTATTTGGAGGGAGTACAATAGATAAGGTACAAGAGATATCAGGAGTTGCTTCTTATATAAAGCTCATTGAATAACTTGCTAAATAAAATCAGACCAAAG